GGTTCGAGGATTTTTAGACAATGTTCCAGAGTCTTTGCTAAATTTTATAACAAATCTTCTGTATTTTAGCCCTCTTGTGTCTCTCATTGTTTAAAGCACTTAGCAGGAACTGTAAGGCCAGTTTTCCATAAACCCGCACACGGAGGTTCAAGAGAATTTCAGGAGAATCTGCCCACTGAGGTTCAGGAGAATCCGCCCACTGAGGTTCAGGAGAATTCGCCCACTGAGGTTCAGGAGAATTCTCCCACTGAGGTTCAGGAGAATCTGCACACTGAGGTTCAGGAGAATCCGCACACTGAGGTTCAGGAGAATTTCAGGAAAATCCGCACACTGAGGTTCAGGAGAATCCGCCCACTGAGGTTCAGGAGAATCCGCACACTGAGGTTCAGGAGGATTTCAGGAGAATCCGCACACTGAGGTTCAGGAGAATCCGCACACTGAGGTTCAGGAGAATTTCAGGAGAATCCGCCCACTGAGGTTCAGGAGAATCCGCACACTGAGGTTCAGGAGAATTTCAGGAGAATCCGCCCACTGAGGTTCAGGAGAATCCGCACACTGAGGTTCAGGAGAATTTCAGGAGAATCCGCCCACTGAGGTTCAGGAGAATTTCAGGAGAACTGCGACACCGAGGTTCAGGAGAATTTCAGGAGAACTACCCACTGAGGTTCAGGAGAATTTCCAGGAGAATCCTACCGAGGTTCAGGGAGAATCAAGACACTGAGGTTCAGGAGAATTTCAGGAGAATCAAGACACTGAGGTTCAGAGAACTGCACACCGAGGTTCAGGAGACTTCAGGAGAATCCGGCCCACTGAGGTTCAGGAGAACCGCGACACCAGGTTCAGGAGAATTTCAGGAGAATCCGGCCCACCGAGGTTCAGAGAAATTTCAGGAGAATCAAGACACCTGATAAGTTGAGGAGAATGTAACTTCACATCAGAGAGTAAAAGCCTTGGAGCTTGCAGCAGAACATTCTGAGTTGTTCTAATTGTCTCCTTTCACACTAGTGATGGCCTACTCTAAATCTTCCACTGGTTCTGTGCCTCTAGTGAATCAGTGCACCCGAAGAAAAGCCGTGAGGCGCCCAAACACCCAAACTGACCATGCCACATCCGTGCCCAAATAACCTGTTTAACTGACCATGCCTGTGCCCAAACACCCCGTTAAATCCCCGACTCCATGCCACTCTGGTCACGCTTTGTGCCCAAACAATCGCATAAACTGTCCGCAACGCAGTATGCCCAAAACACCTGGTGAAACTGACAGTCTCCACTTCTTGCACCTGGTGTCTTTTCTATACAGTCACCTGTGCATCTGACAGCTGCCCGTATCTACACATGAACCTCCTGTGAACCTATAAGCATCCACATGCTTTTCTATTCCTCTTGTGCATCTGACAGCTACTGCATATGTGTACCTGAAACATCTGTGCTTGTGTCTAAAATGCCTGTACAATCTGGCAGCACCTGTGTCTGTGTACCAACAAACTGTACACCTGGCAGCGATCTGTGTCCAAACAACCTGTATACCTGGCAGCGATCTGTGTCTGTGTACCAACAATCTGTACACCTGGCAGCGATCTGTGTCCAAACAACCTGTATACCTGGCAGCGATCTGTGTCTGTGTACCAACAAACTGTACACCTGGCAGCGATCTGTGTCCAAACAACCTGTATACCTGGCAGCGACCTGTGTCTGTGTACCAACAAACTGTACACCTGGCAGCCCCCTGTGTCTGTGTACAAACAACCTGTACACCTGGCAGTCCCCTGTGTCTGTGTACAAACAACCTGTACACCTGGCAGCGACCTGTGTCTGTGTACAAACAGCCTGTACACCTGGCAGCCCCCTGTGTCTGTGTACAAACAGCCTGTACACCTGGCAGCAATCTGTGTCTGTGTACAAACAGCCTGTACACCTGGCAGCAATCTGTGTCTGTGTACAAACAGCCTGTACACCTGGCAGCCCCCTGTGTCTGTGTACAAACAGCCTGTACACCTGGCAGCCCCCTGTGTCTGTGTACAAACAGCCTGTACACCTGGCAGCGACCTGTGTCTGTGTACAAACAGCCTGTACACCTGGCAGCGACCTGTGTCTGTGTACAAACAGCCTGTACACCTGGCAGCGACCTGTGTCTGTGTACAAACAGCCTGTACACCTGGCAGCGACCTGTGTCTGTGTACAAACAGCCTGTACACCTGGCAGCGACCTGTGTCTGTGTACAAACAGCCTGTACACCTGGCAGCGACCTGTGTCTGTGTACAAACAGCCTGTACACCTGGCAGCGACCTGTGTCTGTGTACAAACAGCCTGTACACCTGGCAGCGACCTGTGTCTGTGTACAAACAGCCTGTACACCTGGCAGCGACCTGTGTCTGTGTACAATCTCCTGGTCCCTCCTAGCCAGCCTGTATACTGCATAGCATTGAATGATCCCAGACAATGCGGTTTGTTAAATCTGTCAGATATGGTTGGAATGTTTTGCTCAGGTAAATAGCATCCCTTGCGGGATCTGTGAAAGGCTAAAAAAGGAGACATAAACAAATCCACAACAATGAAGGAGATGGGATTTGACATTTTGCCAGATCTGCGATGCACTTCGGAGGAGCATAAAGAGATGGAAGAGATAAAGGTTGATTGAAAGCAGATCTGACGGTTTACCTGGGAATTAAACTCCATCCAATTCATCTCATAAGGGCCGGGGCTCTAATTATCCCCAATTTGTAGCTAATTAAAAAACACAATGACTTCTTAAAGACCACAAATAAACAACACACGGGTTAATAACTTAGACATTTCTATACTGATTAAAATGACATTGTGGTGATTTGACTTCCTTTTCTTTTTACATACGGATGTCATGACATTTCAAGCTATTAAAACTTTTACAGAATTGCAAACAAAACCTTTATTGTAATATATTGTAGAAAGTGACCGCAGATAGGAAACACAGAGACATTTGTATAGCGAATAAACACGGTAAAGACTTTGGTCTGCTCAGTAAATCCTGGAATAATATATCAGAGAGATAATTCCGTCTGAGTTTGGCTTGCATTCACAATACACTGTGCAGTTAGTAAACCCTTACTGAGAATCCTGTCGGTATCCAGCCTCTCGAGGGTTAGAGCGACTGATGGTCTATTGTTTGCCTAGACTGTTAGCGTACGGACAGATCACTACCATAGTAATTAGGATGACCCGGCGGGTAACGAGGATACCTGCACTCTGGGTTTATTTATTATAGAGAATTGACAAGGTCCAAATAACTCAATTTGAATGATAGTTTCACGTATGAACGGATTGTTCCCTCAGTTGCTTGCGGTGATCTCAGGATCAGCACCACGGCCAGAGCTGCAGGCCGAGCATTGCTGAACATGGAAAAGCATCCATTTACAGGCAGTGTCTGGAAGCAGTTTAAGGGCTTCCAGGCTCGAATTACACTGTTAATGAGCTGTACTAGTCCATAGACTGACAGACATGCCAACAATATCTATGTAGTATCAGAGGAAGCAGTCTACAGCGTTGTATGCGGCGTCCAGCGTCCCCTCAGTTCCGGGTTCTACTATATTCAAGATTTAAAGTGGTAGTATTCATTGTGTGTGGGGTTAGCGCTCGCGTATTGTGTGATTTCTATTGCTGAACATGGCATGTCCTGACAGCAACGCAGGCCGACGCAGCACTCATTACTGACTGTTTCCCATGATGCACTGCAGAAACAAAATGGCTGCTGCTGCCCACTCTGGTGTTGAGAGGAAAAAGGAAGATTGTTGCAAAAAGAGAACTTTTCAACCTCCTTAACCTTCGTAGTATTTATTCTATTAGTATGGCTCCTGCAAAGTAGCTGATATGTGAATGGCTGTCGCTCTTAGAACAGGACCGCCCGCTCTTTTTGTCCATTTAAGCATTAAATATTATGTTTATATAATGTGTCTACCAACTGTACACAACGACTGATTATTTATAAATGAGATATTTAATTAATGCAAGTTTTAAATAATACACAATGCCTCCATGTATTTCAATATCGCCAAAACTCAGACTGAAAGTCTCCAAGGTGACGCCTGGTGTCTGCAAATATAACCCTTTCACCTGATCGCTTTTTGATTGTAAACATTAACATAACGTATATTTGTTATGCATAGCTAGCATATAAACTAATCATAAAACAGCAATGTTGTGTATAGATTGCTTTTGCAGACAAACAAATTAAAATTATGTGACTTAACCCAATTTTTATTTTTCACTTATTCATTCATCTTTTACAAAAATATTTGGAAAATGAAAAGCTTTAGGCAGTATACAATGTCCTTTTATCGTGCAATATTTCACACAGGGTCTGAAATGTAACGATAAAAGCAAAAATGCAAAAGCTTACTAAAAACCAGAATGTAACAATAAAGTCTGCGTTTGAGCATCACGTTCACATACAGATAAATTTATACATTTCTAAAAAAAAACAAAACTAAAACTAGTTCTATAGAAACTTAAAAGAGAGTGTGGAAGGCAGCAATACACATTAAAATCACATCCTCTGCGGGGGATCTGGGCACTCAGCATGGCTGCTGGGGGATCTGGGCACTCAGCATGGCTCCTGGGGGATCTGGGCACTCAGAATGGCTCCTGGGGGATCTGGGCACTCAGCATGGCTGCTGGGGGATCTGGGCACTCAGCATGGCTGCTGGGGGATCTGGGCACTCAGCATGGCTCACTGGGGGATCTGGGCACTCAGCATGGCTGTTGGGGGATCTGGGCACTCAGCATGGCTGCTGGGGGATCTGGGCACTCAGCATGGCTCGCTGGGGGATCTGGGCACTCAGCATGGCTCGCTGGGGGATCTGGGCACTCAGCATGGCTGCTGGGGGATCTGGGCACTCAACATGGCTGCTGGGGGATCTGGGCACTCAGCATGGCTGCTGGGGGATCTGGGCACTCAGCATGGCTGCTGGGGGAATGGGAGTTATTACTCACCTTTCGGATGTGACAGGAAAACAAGACCAAACTGTGACCATCTTTCTTTATCAGCCCCTGCAGGGTTTTAGAAAACTGAGCAGCAACAAGAGAATCCTTATCCTGCAACAAACACAGACAAGCAATGGGTACATTGTGATAATCAGCACAGAGCACACTCTCAGTACTAGCAGTGGGTACACGGTGATAATCAGCACAGAGCACACTCTCAGTACTAGCAGTGGGTACACAGGGATAATCAGCACAGAGCACACTCTCAGTACTAGCAGTGGGTACACGGTGATAATCAGCACAGAGCACACTCTCAGTAATCGAAGTGGGTACATTGTGATAATCAGCACAGAGCACACTCTCAGTACTAGCAGTGGGTACACGGTGATAATCAGCACAGAGCACACTCTCAGTACTAGCAGTGAGTACACGGTGATAATCAGCACAGAGCACACTCTCAGTACTAGCAGTGGGTACACAGTGATAATCAGCACAGAGCACACTCAGTACTAGCAGTGGGTACATGGTGATAATCAGCACAGAGCACACTCAGTACTAGCAGTGGGTACATGGTGATAATCAGCACAGAGCACACTCTCAGAACTAGCAGTGGGTACACGGTGATAATCAGCACAGAGCACACTCTCAGTAATCGAAGTGGGTACACGGTGATAATCAGCACAGAGCACACTCTCAGTACTAGCAGTGGGTACACGGTGATAATCAGCACAGAGCACACTCTCAGTACTAGCAGTGGGTACATTGTGACAATCAGCACAGAGCACACTCTCAGTACTAGCAGTGGGTACATGGTGATAATCAGCACAGAGCACACTCTCAGTACTAGCAGTGGGTACACGGTGATAATCAGCACAGAGCACACTCAGTACTAGCAGTGGGTACACGGTGATAATCAGCACAGAGCACTCTCAGTAATCGAAGTGGGTACACAGTGATAATCAGCACAGAGCACACTCAGTACTAGCAGTGGGTACACGGTGATAATCAGCACAGAGCACACTCTCAGTAATCGAAGTGGGTACACAGTGATAATCAGCACAGAGCACACTCAGTACTAGCAGTGGGTACGGTGATAATCAGCACAGAGCACACTCGAACTGGCAGTGGGTACGGTGATAATCAGCGCAAGAGCACACTCTCAGTACTAGCAGTGGGTACACAGCGATAATCAGCACAGAGCACACTCTCAGTACTAGCAGTGGGTACACAGCGATAATCAGCACAGAGCACACTCTCAGTACTAGCAGTGGGTACACGGTGATAATCAGCACAGAGCACACTCTCAGTACTAGCAGTGGGTACACGGTGATAATCAGCACAGAGCACACTCTCAGCACTAGCAGTGGGTACACGGTGATAATCAGCACAGAGCACACTCAGTACTAGCAGTGGGTACACGGTGATAATCAGCACAGAGCACACTCAGTACTAGCAGTGGGTACATGGTGATAATCAGCACAGAGCACACTCAGTACTAGCAGTGGGTACATGGTGATAATCAGCACAGAGCACACTCTCAGAACTAGCAGTGGGTACACGGTGATAATCAGCACAGAGCACACTCTCAGTAATCGAAGTGGGTACACGGTGATAATCAGCACAGAGCACACTCTCAGTACTAGCAGTGGGTACACGGTGATAATCAGCACAGAGCACACTCTCAGTACTAGCAGTGGGTACATTGTGACAATCAGCACAGAGCACACTCTCAGTACTAGCAGTGGGTACATGGTGATAATCAGCACAGAGCACACTCTCAGTACTAGCAGTGGGTACACGGTGATAATCAGCACAGAGCACACTCAGTACTAGCAGTGGGTACACGGTGATAATCAGCACAGAGCACACTCTCAGTACTAGCAGTGGGTACACAGTGATAATCAGCACAGAGCACACTCTCAGTACTAGCAGTGGGTACACAGTGATAATCAGCACAGAGCACACTCTCAGTACTAGCAGTGGGTACACGGTGATAATCAGCACAGAGCACACTCTCAGTACTAGCAGTGGGTACACGGTGATAATCAGCACAGAGCACACTCTCAGTAATCGAAGTGGGTACACGGTGATAATCAGCACAGAGCACACACAGTACTAGCAGTGGGTACACGATGATAATCAGCACAGAGCACACTCTCAGTAATCGAAGTGGGTACACAGTGATAATCAGCACAGAGCACACTCAGTACTAGCAGTGGGTACACGGTGATAATCAGCACAGAGCACACTCTCAGTAATCGAAGTGGGTACACAGTGATAATCAGCACAGAGCACACTCAGTACTAGCAGTGGGTACACGGTGATAATCAGCACAGAGCACACTCTCAGTACTAGCAGTGGGTACACGGTGATAATCAGCACAGAGCACACTCAGTACTAGCAGTGGGTACACAGTGATAATCAGCACAGAGCACACTCTTAGTACTAGCAGTGGGTACACGGTGATAATCGGCACTCAACACAGAGCACACTCTCAGTACTAGCAGCGAGTACAGTCAGGGCAGTGTGTGGTCTAGTCTTTCCATTGCTTTGAAGGGTAAGATAAACAGATCATCACCATCAGGGTCTCAGAACTGCCCTCTGTCCCACTGACTGTCTGTCCAGATAGAGTTACATTGAGTGGAGCTCTTACTCTGCCCAATTTGTGACTAAATGTGGGTAACACTCACACAGGACAGGTAGTCCTGCCTCCAGGCGCGCTCGTACCCAACGTCCCGGCGCAAACCCTGCAACGCATCCATTGCGCACACTTTGGCTTTAATCTGAAACATGTCCGATGGGGGGATGTTTTTTACAATTTTTCTCGCTCTCCATCTGGGCACAGAGAATAAAACAATGATATTAGCATGTAGCATGTAATAACAGCAATTACCTACTGTCCTCCAGAATAACTCAACAAACCATGTCTATGGGCCGGCTATCTTAAAGCCTTGTTACAGGACGGGTATTTCATGGGATACATTCTAGCACCGTTTGGAATCTCCTTCTTTCAATATGAAAAGAGAACAAAAAAAACATTTAATGGCAGCCCGTCTCACCACCAATATTTAAACATGTTTATTACTGGAATGGGAAGCAGAAGATACAGAAATTTAGGAACCTTCTAAATGGAAACTATTTGAGCTTAAAGGGGCAGTCTAGGCACCATAACCACTACATGTTGATGAATGCGTGCATTGTACCCAACAAATATTATTCTAAAATTCATTTCACTGCTCACTGCTAGTCTTTGTAACTATACTTGGCCGCTAAATTGTGGATGGAGAATCAGTGTCCATTGGTACCTCCTAAATAGATTTCGGCTGAGATCCTGAAATGTTGCAAGGACAGCTGGCGGTTCGGGCCACTCCACGCTCTTTCCATAGTCCGGCATATTGCGCACATTCTGGAAACGTCTCACAACTTCCAGCAGGTGAGACCTGACTCTGTAGCATTTATAAACACGCATTATAGTGTAGATAGCCCGGAGTTGTTTGTACCGTTTCCGTGCCAGCGTGCCACGCCAGACCTGTGTACAGAAATAGAAAATTATTCATATTTAGCTCCGCAAACCCAGGATCATGCAAAAGGAATACACAATAATATCGATACAATATTGACACATTTTGCTGGATCGCTTATTTCCTTTAAATGTCATTTCAGTGTAAATCGCAAAATATTCTCTAGAGAAGCAGGTCTGGCAAAACACAAAATGTCACCCATTAATGTTTTAGCATAAAGCGTTCAAGTATGCCCATTCTAGGAATATGACCTTCAATGACTGTTATCAGTAAATATAATTATATTACAAAATGGATCGTCTCTCATCTACATACAGCCCAATCCGTTACCATCTCTCAGCTCTATTCTGCCACATCCTTTACCATCTCTGTATCCTACTCCATCTGTTACCATCTCTGTATCCTACTCCATCTGTTACCATCTCTGTATCCTACTCCATCTGTTACCATCTCTGTATCCTACTCCATCTGTTACCATCTCTGTATCCTACTCCATCTGTTACCATCTCTGTATCCTACCTCATCCTTTACCATCTCCCTATCCTACCTCATCCTTTACCATCTCCCTATCCTACCACATCCTTTACCATCTCCCTATCCTACTCCATCCTTTATCGTATCCCTATCCTACCCCATCCTTTACCATCTCCCTTTCCTACCCCCTCCTTTACCATCTCTCTATCCTGTATTCTTACTACCCAATTCTCACCTCTTCCTTTTCTCTCCCGTACACCATGCCAACGTATGCACTACTAAAACGACCATTGAACTCTTGATCATGAATATCTATAGATAAAATGCAATTCCCCCTGAAACTTTAATGAAAATGAATTAAACAGTGCTTCCTCTGTGAGTACGTTACACCAATTATAAGGAATGTATTTTTATTGGCCCCAGGGATAGCTGTAAAGTGGGTTATTAGCCAGCATCAGGAGCACAATGGATGAGAATAGGGAGCCAGTGAGTGGCACTAAATCTAGCAAAGGCCCATTCAGCCTCTCCCACGCACCCGTAACCCACCAGGGTGAGCATGAGTCACAGAGGACTCATCAGAATGCATTGTGATCAGGCCGGCCTCGTACTGCTAAATCATAAAGGCTGCAAGGAAAAATATTAACCGCTGGAGGCTGCGGCTCGTTAATAGGGGATTTATTCTGCAGACAAACACTTGATTCGTCATTCACTATTCACAAGCCGGCATGACTACCACCATAAGAAAGCGTTTATTTTTATTTAACTGGCGGATGAGCCACACACTGCGGCAATTTAACCCTTGCATCCACCACTCTGTATTTTACATTCCAAGTGTCACCAAAACACACAATTTAGAATTAAATAGGGAATTGGAAAAAATTATTTACATCTGTGACTAGAGCAGATTTGGGGAATTTTTCCAAATCAACTTCATTGTTCAGTAAATGATGACTGTAATTTTAGATAATATATTGTGTGCCACTTGTAAGAATGTACTGTGCAGGTCTGTCTGTGCTGCCAGGTCCTCTGTTTGGCAGGTCCTGCCTGTGCTGGTGGGTTGTGTCTGTGTTGGAGAAGTTATGGTCATGTTGGCAGGTTCTGTCTGTGCTGGAGAGTATTGTCCATTGTGGGTGGTTGTGTCCGAGTTTCTGTCTTTGTTGAGAGGTACTGTTTGCATTGTAGGGTTCTGTTCATGTTGGAAAGCTCTGTCTGTGCTGTGCTGAGTAATGTCCATGGTGGGGGTTTCTGTCCATGGTAGGGGTTTCTGTCTGTGTTGGTGGATTCTGTCTGTGCTGAGTATTGTCTCTGTCTGTGTTGGTGGCTTCAAACTGACCATCATGGAGTCCGCAGAGATGTGCAAGCTGCTTATCCAGCAAGTGTCCAGCCTGATCCAGACTGTTTTGGAGCTGCAGCAAGAAGTTCAATTTCTTAAAGGAACATTATGCCCAGCCCCGGAACCTGCTTATTCTGAACCATTTGTTGTTATGCCTGAGAGATTTGACGGTAGCCGCACATCCTTCCGGTACTTTAAGGTGGATTGTGAGTTGTTGTTTGCCTTAAAGCCTCGGACATATGCCACCGACTTCATTATGGTCCGAGCGGCTATCAACCTGCTTTCTGGACGGATCAAAACATGGGCACACCAGATGTTGCAGGCTAAGAGTCCTGTCCTTGACAATTGGGGATCCTTCATGACTGCAAAGGACTTGCAGTGCAAGACCTCTAGTAAAACCACTGTTCCATATTCCAGAGATCCCAGATTCCCAGAAACAGGAAGACCCAGTACCAACACCACACCTCCTTATGATCCGGTTCCTAGGAAGACTCCAGAGGTATCCAATGTTCCTCTTGACTTCGAGGAACCTATGAAAATAGGACTCGTCCAGATCAAAGTGACTCATAAAGAAAGAGACCGGAGGAGAAACCATGGTCTCTGTTTTTACTGTGGAGAAAGGGGACACTTCAGCTCTCATTGCCCTGTTCACCCACCTAGGCCTCCAGCTCACCGACTGGCTACCACCTTTCTTCGTCCTATGAGCTCTGCATGCCAGCCTGTAAAACTTCAAAGAAGCAGACATGCTTGGCCTCCCTGAGAAAATCTCCATCTCCTGCTCCAGAGACGTCTGCACTTCCCCCTGAAGACACTCCTGTTAAAGCCGGTACCATCACCACTTCCTGTCTGCTCAAAGATCTACCTTCGGATTGTACCTATGCCTCAAATGGTACTAAAGTCCGCATAAAGGATTTGGAAAAGGCATTGCAAGCCACGATCTTCACTCCTGTTGATGTTCTGAGGATGTGCCTTCTGGAATCAAAGTACTAACCACCTGCACCCGGATCCTCAAAGACCTTGATGACTCTCCAGTGGTACCAGAAGCTGGTTCTATGGGGCTCCTTACTGTGAAGGAACTCTTCTATGGGGACGTTATTCTACAGATGGCACAGTGAGGAATGCTACCTCTACGAAGAACCTGTTCACGTCCGGAGGGCCAGGCGTGGTCGCCCCACAAGTGGGGATTCTAACCTGGGTCCTTCTGCATCCTAAGCCTGCGTTCCTGCCTCTGAGCCTCTTCAGTACTTGTGGATCTAGCCTTGTTTATCCGGCATTGCCTGCAGCACTAGGGGGCTGAACTTCGCCAATGGCTCCTACCTGTCAATCTGAGGCAGATGGATCATTCTCCAAGATATATACACTGCCACTCCCCGAGGGCAGTGTCAGTTTGTTGTTTCATGTTTCCTGTTGCCTAAGAATGATTTGGCTTGTGACCCCAGCTTGTGGAATCTACGTTATTGCCTGTTTGCCGCCTGCCCTGACCTTTTTGATACCGTGCCTGACTACTCTTCTGGATTTGCCCTTGTCTGTTTCCTTGTGCCTGGTTACTGTCCTGCCTAAGCCCCCAGGCACAGATTCACAGCCCAGGTAACTTCTTACCTGGTTACCGTGGGCTGTATTTATATCTGCAAGGGTGAGCATACATCTCTGCACTTTGGACTCCAACCAAGGTAAGACCGTGACAGGTGGGGTTTTTCGTCTGTGTTGATGGGTTCGGTTTGCATTGGAGGGTTCTGTTGATGTTGGGAAGCTTTGTCTGTGCTGTGCTGAGTATTGTCCATGGGGAGAGAGGCATGGAACAATGCACAGGAATGCCAGTCCATCATGCCTATGAGTTAAGTTGGATGGCAGGTCCTGCCTGGGCTGGTAGGTTGTGTCTGTGTTGGAGAACTGTCTGCACTGAGAGGGTCTGTTTGCATTAGAGGGTTCTGTTCATGTGGGCAGGTTCTGCCTGTGCTGGTGAGTATTGTCCATTGTGGGGGAGGTTGTGTCTGTGTTGGTGGATTCTGTGCTGAGTAATGTCCATGGTGGGGGGTGTCTGTGTGTGTTGGTGGATTCTGTCTGTGCTGTACTGAGTAATGTCTGTAAGGAAACCAAGTGTATTCAAACCTTATTCGGTAGTTTCCTCCCGAACCGCCAGAGCCTTAGTGATTATAGCCCTCCATTCGGTAGATAAGGTAGACGAATCCTATAGTAATTCCAATAGCTTCACCAGATAATTCCCTTAGTGAAACACACGAATCCCCAAACATCAGCCGAAGTCAAGAAGAAGGGTACAAAATGAACTGTCCTTTAATGGGTGCACACAGCTTTTATGCAAGTCCCCATGCAAGGGGACAGCCCTCTGGGAGGGACAAACAATAGCCAATCATAAACAGTAAAATGTTAACACACTCCTACAATTCCCTAAATTATGTGTCCCCTGATAGCCCTGATCTGGGTGACCAACATATTCGAATTTCACCCAGCTCGGTTCAGGGGTTCGCAAATTTTATGGAAGTCTTGTGTGACCGGCTCACCCTGGGCTGCATGCCCAAAACAGTTACACGAATTTGGTGAGTTTTGCCGGTCACTTTCGAAAAACATAAAAACGAAGAAAAGTACTGAATGGATCCCTCTGGCTCCTAGCAGCGTTCGTGCCCCTCTGTCGAATGCACCAAAGTACCGAATAGCGCTCTTCTAGCTATTCGGTAAATAGAGTTCCAGCGTTCGTCTGTTTGGGACCGGTGTTCGGGAAGTCGAGTGTGTCCGTAAAACAGGTCCCGCTGCCTTTGTTCACATGAACAAAGATGGCCGCGGTTTTCTCTGCCACGTGGCGTTCGACTAACGAACGCTGACTGCACAGACAGAGGTAGCAAATTTCACCCAAATCTTTGATGTTTAATGAGCCAGAGGGTGGTCCCGGTTCGGTAGTTTCATCTACCGAATGCAATAGGCAGTACATAGAGAATAAAAAGGGAATGCACACTGTAAATCACATAGGAATAGGGGGGTTTCTTCACAATGTCCATGGTGGGTGTTTCTGTCAATGTTTCTGTGTGTTTGCATTCGAGGGCTCTGTTGATGTTGGGAAACTCTGTCTGTGCTGTGCTGAGTATGGTCCATAGGAAGAGAGGCAGTGAACTCTGTACAGGAATACCAATCCATCATGCCTATGACTTAAGTTGGATGGCATGGAGGGGAGACCATAGTGAAAAACCTTGGCACGGACAGTCTGTCTGGGAAGAGGCAACTGAATGACCCCATCTGAGAGTATAAGTTAGAAACTAAAAAACACAGCAGAGAAACATGGAAATAAAGACATATTACCAGTCCTTCGGATAGATAGGTTAACAAAACACCCCTAAGGAAGCCAAAACAGAGCACCTGGAAGTGGCCACCATCTTCCATGGGACAAAGTGACATTAGACACAGCCTTAAACAAGACTCTGTATAATCTGAAAACAAGGCAAAGGCCGAAGCAAAACACTATTAGTTAAAACTATGAACGGAGATCTGAGTGGTGGAGATACGGTTATACCGAGAAGTGTCCAGAATCAGCTGCAACACTGGCAGAAATTGCGTACAGATACGTGGCCTGATTGACGCTAGCTGGGAGTGTTAGAGGGGGAAGTAGGCGCTGAGAAAATCCTACAGGAATTCCTCTCCTGGACTATTGGGGAGTCTGGAAGCAGGGTAGAGTTTTGAGACAGCATTGACTTACAGGTCCTCCACTCACTATTCTGCATTAAAAAAATAATAGCAGTAATATTCCACATACAGAATGCAAAACGCCATATTAATTGCTGCTGTTTGACTCCTATGGGAGTTATCTGTTTATCGGACGGATCAAGTGAGTCTGTAAGAGCCATCACTAGACAATTGAAAACCAGAACTTTTGTCACACTAACTGGCTTCCTTGGGTGCGAATTTACATTCTCATTAATTTAAATCTAGCTCGCAGGCTGACCTGTCTTCCAGAGTAAACCAATTGTGGGAATGTTTCGCCTCCTGCCCTATATGAAACTTATCAACTCGCACCATCAACTGCAGAAAAAGAGTGTCTCATGTGTAGTGCCAGACATATTGTCGTTCTTTTTACATGTTACCTATAGGGTTTTACACGCTTGGTAACACACACACGCACAGCCAGTCATGCTTAGTAGACGGCCGCCAGCTCTCTGTAATAATCTCTCCTGACGGACTGACTTCATCGCAGCTTCGTCATCCCTGATTGAAACTGACAGAAATCTCTTCCTAACTTACTAACCGCCTGATCTCCACAAATGCAAGAGAGACCTGGGGGAGAGGGGGTGAGGGGGAGAGAGGCAAAAATAAAAAACTCAGACAATCCCCCCCCCCTCCATTTTGTCCCTCTTTCTGACAATCATTGGCCCTAGGGAAGCAATGCAGTCTCGGAGGCTTGTGGAAAACAATAGTGACAGCTCAGCCCAGAAATGCTAAAATCCAATTTCAGCTTCTATTTGGCTTCATTCATTGTGTCTGAAGGAAATAAAGTGATTGTCTGTGATATTTCATTAAATGGCCTGGGATTTATCCAGGGAACATTGCTAGGACAGATGCATGGTGGATCACCGACCCACAGAGCTTGCAATCTAATTATCCAAAGGTAGTAAGAAGACAGTTAAGTGTAACTTGAGGTATGATTTTTCCCACATAAAAATGACATTGAATCACACAGTTCATGTATCAACACATCTCACCCCCACCACTACATCAATGCAAGGATGCAAAGATTAGAATCACAGAGGAAAAACATAGTGTTATTCAATGAAGTTGGAATTATCAGGAATTCAACGTGAATTTAAAATGAATGCAAATGTTAGGTCAAAATAGACAACCAGAATCATAACTTTATTGTTAATCCATAGCCGCGTCATACAGCGAGTCACCATTTTAATGAACATAAAAACGAATGCTTAGAAAACGACACTTGAGATAATACAGCCAAGTTTGACATATTTTCGATTCCTAACTCTCCACCCATCTGTGTGTAAAGTTTTAGACTCAAGACCTGCCCTCAATACTTCACTGTGAGAAGCATTCATACAACGCCGAGCACTAATAAGATAAATTCCAGGCAAAGATATGCATTATTTTTTAGAACAATTACATCTGTAATCAAAATAAATCAGGTTTATTGTAAAAATGTACAGACTTTCAGCTTTTTGCAATTAATAAATCAAACAAAAGCAATTGAAATAGCTTAACACCATGAATGCTTCAAGTGGTTTCCCCAAATTCAACTGAAAATGCAACTTATAATGACTCTCAAAATTATTCTTTATATATTATTATATAATCATTATTATTATTCAGGATTATAGAATCCCTCACAGCAGCACATATATGCAAAACATGTGTTGTCTCAAGCACCCCTGATGCAACTAATCCAGGACTTCATTAATTGCTCCAGGTGTGCGTAAGCTGGAACACTTGAAATACCTGAACTGGCTAGGGATTTGTTGAGTGTCACGTTTAGCTGCATGTTAGAAATATCGCTAAGTCAAAAGAATGGTCACAAAGTTAAGAGAAGAGGCATCACAAACAAGGAACAAGATACAAAAAGATAGTGAAGGCACTGCATGTTCCTAAAGACACCGTTAGATGCATAGTTGGCAAGTTCAAAGTTGAAGGAACAGTGGTTACATTACCTGGATGGGGCAGAAAAAGGAAGCTATCAGTGGCTGTACACAGATTTCTGAGAAAGGTTGTGAAAAACCCTCAAGTGAGTGCAAAAGACCTGCAGCAAGACTTGGTGGCAACAGACACCAAGGTTTCAGTGAGCACTGTAAGGCGTGCACTAAATGCAAAAGGTTTCCATGCCAGAACTCCAAGACATACACCACTACTGACCAAAAAATGCAAGAAAAGTCGGCTCCAACATGCACAAAATCATATAAATAAGCCACAGAAGTCTTGAGATTCTGTTCTGTGCAGTGATGAAACAAAACTGGAACTTTTGGCCCAGTGGATCAGCGGTATGTCTGGAGTAAGGAGAATAAAGCGAATCCTGGAAAATTAAACTGTGGCCATCACAGTCACTCAGCATGAACCCCGTAGAAAATCTCTGGTGGTATTTGAAGAGACTGGAAAAGTCATTAGAATTTGCATTTTCAGTTGAATTTGGGGAAACTACTTGAAGCATTCATGAGCTATTTCAAATGCTTTTGTTTGATTTGTTCATAGCAAACAGCTGAAAGTCTGTAAATGTTGACAATGTACATTTCTTGCATTAGCAGATAATTACATTTATTTGGTTAAGTTTCATACAAGCTTTGGCCACGTGTTCCCGGTCGTTAACAACATTGGCTGATCATTAACAAACAAACTGCAGCAGTGGCTGTGCACACAGCCTGTAAGTGAATGTGTTATATTTATTATACGGTACGGACAGACATTAACAGGTTCCCTAATAAGGTATCGGTGACATCCCTTGACGGATCTCCTGTATGCAGCAAGATGAATGCTTAGTGCACTGCAGCCCACCGCCCCCAGGTGTAAAATTAATATCTTTTTAAATAAACGATCAAACAAGGTACTAGTTAATATTTAGCTCTGTGAAATGATTGCGTGTAGAGAGAGGCAGATGGGATAAATGAACTGCAGAGGAATATTTGTTGGACATTTCATATACAGGACAAGTTACATAGATTACACAGTCATTTAATAAGCACTTTAGCCATGAGATCCGCAGGCTTGTAGCTGTAACATGTTCAGCCTCACCTTGCGGCATTTGCGCTCAGCGGCCGTGCACCTGTATACCTGACTCCTGCAACATATTGATGGACACAAATTATAGCCTCAAGTCCGCCCACGTTGATGATGACGTTGGCGTGCGTGTGACGTCACGCGGGAGACACACGGGCACGTTCTGTTAGGGACTAGTATAAAAGGGCATCTCAGGGCACAGCAGTGCCCAATTCTATCCCGCAAAAACATCTTAAGTGAAAGGAGAGACTTGATATTTAATATTAAAAACTGCAGGTACTATCAGTGAATACGGAGGTATGGGTGGTACATTGCAGATAGGAGATAGAAACATAGAATGTGACGGCAGATAAGAACCATTCAGCCCATCTAGTCTGCCCAATTTTCTAAATACTTTCATTAGTCCCTAGTCTTATTTTATAGTTAGGATAGCCTTATGCCTATCCCACGCATGCTTAAACTCCTTTACTGTGTTAACCTCTACCACTTCAGCTGGAAGGCTATTCCATGCATCCACTACCCTCTCAGTAAAGTAATACTTCCTGATATTATTTTTAAACCTTTGTCCCTCTAATTTAAGACTATGTCCTCTTGTTGTGGTAGTTTTTCTTCTTTTAAATATAGTCTCCTCCTTTACTGTGTTGATTCCCTTTATATATTTAAATGTTTCTATCATATCCCCCCTGTCTCGTCTTTCCTCCAAGCTATACATGTTAAGATCCTTTAACCTTTCCTGGTAAGTTTTATCCCGCAATCCATGAACCAGTTGAGTAGCCCTTCTCTGAACCCTCTCTAAGGTATCAATATCCTTCTGAAGATACGGTCTCCAGTACTGTGTACAATACTCCAAGTGAGGTCTCACCAGTGTTCTGTACAATGGCATGAGCACTTCCCTCTTTCTACTGCTAATACCTCTCCCTATACAACCAAGCATTCTGCTAGCATTTCCTGCTGCTCTATTACATTGTCTGCCTACCTTTAAGTCATCAGAAATAATCACCCCTAAATCCCTTTCCTCATATGTTGAGGTTAGGACTCTATCAAATATTCTGTACTCTGCCCTTGGGTTTTTACGTCCAAGATGCATTATCTTGCACTTATCCACATTAAATGTCAGTTGCCACAATTCTGACCATTTTTCTAGTTTACCTAAATCATTTGTCATTTGGCTTATCCCTCCTGGAACATCAACCCTGTTACATATCTTAGTATCATCAGCAAAAAGACATACCTTACCATCAAGACCTTCTGCAATATCACTAATAAAAATATTAAAGAGAATGGGTCCAAGTACAGATCCCTGAGGTACCCCACTGGTGACAAGTCCAAGCTTCGAATATATTCCATTAACTACAACCCTCTGTTGCCTGTCACTCAGCCACTGCCTTACCCATTCAACAATATTGGAATCCAAACTTAAAGATTGCAGTTTATTGATAAGCCTTCTATGTGCAACAGTGTCAAAAGCCTTACTGAAATCTAGGTAAGCAATGCCTACTGCACCACCCTGATCTATTTTTTAGTTACCCAATCAAAAAAATCAATAAGATTAGTTTGGCATGATCTCCCTGAAGTAAACCCATGTTGTCTCTGATCTTGAAATCCATGTGTTTTTAGATGTTCATCAATCCTATCCTTTAACATGGTTTCCATCACTTTCCCCACTACTGAAGTAAGGCTTACTGGCCTATAGTTGCCCGACTCCTCCCTATTACCTTTCTTGTAAATGGGCACAACATTCGCTAACTTCCAATCTTCTGGGACTACTCCTGTTAACAATGATTGGTTAAATAAATCTGTTAATGGTTTTGCTAGTACACCACTAAACTCTTTTAATAGCTTTGGGTGTATTCCATCAGGTCCCATTGACTTATTTGTCTTTACTTTTGACAGTTGAAATAGAACCTCTTCCTCTGTAAACTCACGTGTAATAAATGACTCATTTATCCTTTTTCTCAACTGAGGTCCCTTTCCTTCATTTTCATCTGTAAATACAGAACAAAAATATTCATTGAGGCAGTCAGCTAGACCTTTATCCTCTTCTACATACCTTCCTTCTTTTGTTTTTAATCTAACTAATCCTTGTTTTACTTTTCTTTTCTAATTTATGTATCTAAAAAATGTTTTATCCCCCTTTTTTACTGACTGTGCTATTTTCTCTTCTGTGTGTGATTTGAATGTATAGTGGTGTGTAGCATATTGTATTTCGGTTAATACAGTATAGCAGTGGGTAGAATGTTGTATATTGGGTGTTGTAGTGGGTAGAAATTGGATGTTGGGTTTTGTAGTGGGTAGATCGTTGTATATTGGGGTTTGTAGTGGGTAGGGTATTAAATGTTGGGGTTTGTAGTAAGTAGGATAATATATGTTGGGGTTTGTAGTGGGTAGGATATTGAATGTTGGGGTTTGTAGTGGGTAGGATATTGAATGTTGGGGTTTGTAGTGGGTTGGACAGTATATGTTAGGGTTGTAGTGGGTAGGGTATTGAATGTTGGGGTTTGTAGTGGGTTGGATAATATATGTTGGGGTTTGTAGTGGGTTGGACATTTTATGTTGGGGTTTGTAGTTGGTGTGATATTGTTTATTGCAGTTTGCCGTGTGCAGAGCTTTGACAAATGACATCTTTTGTGTATAATGGGAAATCCATCATATATATATATATAACTAGCTTTTCCTACCTTCTGTATCAATAACACAATGATGGGGATCAGCTGGGACCGCTCTTGTTCTAGACTAAACAGTGTCTGGGGCGTTCTTATGAAGACTTTTGTGTGTCCATAGGCCACATCATTCTGGAATTCGTGCTGTTCAATCAGTGCTTTCGTGGCCTCCATGTCTGATCCCATGAGATGGTTTGGCCATGTGTACTCGCAGGTCATTTTGTACCTACCACGAAAAAAAATAATTTGTTGGATTTAGTTCTTAAACCCTGAAAAAAATTAAAAGCAGCTCAGTTCCACTCGATGGCTATATAGCCTGTCCCGAACCCACCTCTAATAACATTTACACTAAATGATCCAAACTGGAAATTCTACAATCTCAGCTTTCTATTCTATTATCGACAGCACAAATCATTCTATAGTGAATGTTTAAACTGTGATAGTTTATTCACTAAACTGTGAATTGCCAGAAATTCACCAACAATTTAAAATTTTTAGGCCAAAACAGACAAACTTGAAAAAAAAGCCGCTGTTCCCAATTTGACTATTTTTTACCCAAACGTTTATAAATCTCAGCTGATGCTTCATTTAGTGAAGAACCCTGTCGCCCATGGCACCTTTGTTAAAGAATATCCTCACCCACCTGAATAAAAACCTGTCGTAGGGCTGTCTGTAAGCGAAGCCTGCCCTCCTTACACGCACATTCTCCAGAAGACCCAAATATTCCACTTGGTGACGGCATCTCTGATCGTCAAACAGAACTGGGGACTTCTGCTCATTGGGCTTCACACATCGAACGTAATACGGCTCCTGAAAGAGAAATGGAAGGAGTGAGAACCAAGGGGATATATATCTGGCGTTGTGTTATATCCGCTTGTATGTCATGACTCTGTCATATCTTGGGGCTTCTTGTACGACCAACGGTCCTTCTAACCATATTGTAACAGTGTTTAGACCTGTCCTGGTCTCAGCAGCTGACCCCTCCAACAGTTTTACTACTCTGGCCTAAAATGTGTTATTCCTATGTGGATTCTAACCAACAGCCACTTTGGGGAATAAATCCCAAATTATTTTACTGGATTCTTTGGTATTTGCACCATGTTACACCCTACAATGAGAATAGATTATAATGAATGTTCGTAACCCTATGTAGAATAGTGATACAGAAAAAAGTATCAGAAATAATATCTGCTTTAGCACAATATAGAAAGTTAATTTATTTTATGTACTGTACTTTTTGTACGGCCATCACTGAGTAAGAATAATTAAAGGCACAGATTACATAATTAAAGCAAAGCAGAATGAGGGGGGACATGCTGGAGAGAGCTTGTACTATGTTGGTGATAAAATCATTATGAGATATACTCGAGAAGGAGAACAGGTATACGGATTGATCTATGTGTACATGGCCCAGGGCCTCGCCTTCTGAGATTTATATAGCGTGCACATGACAACCTATTAACAGCTGATTATGGCCGCCCCCATCAATTATCACATCTGTGTCCTGTTGCACTATTTATATCTCATTCATGGAGACACAGTGCTTTACAAAGGCCATTGCGTGGGTTAAACATTGCCATTTTGTAATTTGCTGCAATAAAAGGTTCCTGTGAGCATCACACAGAGTTTCTGGGGAATATTATAGGGTTAGATGAGCCAGTTATTACGTAGGAGATTACAGACAGAGTTACACATTTATTCATTTGTATCAGCAGATTGTAGAATGTGTTTCATACATTACATATTTCATAGCAATAACCAACATCTCACATGGACAAAGAGGGACACTTTCATTTTAGGGTTGTGACTAGGTGTCAGGATTCCGGGAACCAGAACACACAGACAGAATCACAAACCAGAATATTGTAGTACCGATCCTTAGAATGGTCAGGTTATACAATAAAGAATAATCAGAGTAGGAGCCGAGGTCGGGGAAAATAGAGATAAGGAAGCCAAGGTCAAAGGATATGAGAGAGCAGAATACACGAGAGACGTAAGCCAGTCAAGATACCAAACAATTTATACGAAGGAGGAATAGGAGATCAGAGACTATATACCCCAAGATCACTTGTGATTGGTTGAACTACGATGGGAGTTAACCACTATACAAGAGGGGTAGCTGATCCAATTACGCTGGACCGTGACATCATTGGTATGTAATGTATCCCGCAGGTATTTCGGTCGCATATTTAAAGAGTCCACTTGCAAGCGTGTAGCGTCCATCGGAATGCTGAAGGAGACAGTGGCACTAGGATGTGAATCGTCAGGTAAGCTGGCTGGAGGCCTGACACTAGGGGAGTGTGGCCAGGGGCGGGGCTGTTCTGAGTGTGAGTGGGGGAGTGGCCAGGGGCAGGGCTATTATGAGTGTGAGTGTGGCTAAAGGCAGGGCTGTTCTGAGTGTGAGTGGGGGAGTGGCCAGGGACAGGGCTATTATGAGTGTGAGTGGGGGAGTGGCTAAAGGCAGGGCTGTTCTGAGAAATTTTAGGCGATTTATTAACATTTTATACAGCTAATATTCTCTAATCCTCTAATATTCATATTAACCACCATAAACATCTTACTTATGTGTTTTAGTTGTGAAGACCCTGTCCCTGTAGTCTTTCTTTTTAAAATGTCTAATTCTTGAGATAAATATTTTGCAATGATTAATAATATGCATGTTTATCTCATGTGATCTCACAGCAAGTGACAGGTCTGCCATTAGACTTATGTACGCACAAAAACTTCGACTGAATCAGATTGTACAAAAAAAAACAAAAAAACGGAGTTTGGGTCGTCACAAATTCATTCACAAGTCCAGACAAACTTTGTCCATGCAAACGATTTGGGAAAAAACGTTCAGATAAACAAAAAAGCTGCGGAAAGGTATAAACATAGATCACATGCGAATAAGTAACCAATAGAGGAAAAACAAGAGGAGCGGTAAAATAAAATCAACCTTTCCTCTCGATTCGGTCGTATGGGGTTTCCACGTTACAGAATTTGGATGTTGTACTAATCGCCCAAAATTTGGATAAATCACAATTTGTAACAGATTTATGAATATTTCCACCACTTTTTTTTTCTGTCAGAAAAGCAGAATAATTTTTTCACACTATAAATTTTGTCTTTAGGAAATTTCAGCGGAATTTGATATGAGGAAAAAAGTGTCACTTTATAGATCACTTAAATGTGTCAGAATTGTACTGTATTAAGATGTCACTTGCTACATTTATATTACAAATTTAATGAAAACATAGCTTCACTTAACAAAGATGGGTGACAAGTTATTTGTGCTTATCAGTGTTTGATTACATGTTCAGATTACATATAATCTGATGTAAAACTGAGAAGAGACAGGCAGGCAGGCTGGTGATATTTGCACCCAGGAAAGGGGTTTGGCCTCAGAATGTTTGCTGCGCAGATATGTTGGACATGTCGTGAAACAAGTCCAAGTTGTGGGTCTAGAGAGAGTGTGCCACACTCACAGCTGGGACAAGATCGATATAGGCTCCAAAACACATCATTTAATTTGGCTGATTGACAGATCTGAGTGGCTGGCTTACAGCTGTGTGAATTTTACAAAATACTGCAGTTATCCGCCATTCCCGGCGCTGAAACTGGGTGCAGGGCGGACGTTAATACAAGGTTGTATTGGTGTTTAGTACAACTCTTTAAATTATAGTAACATTGGATCATTCCCCCTGTTGCCCTCGCTATCCCTGCCCTAAACAGTGCTCAGTATTGTCACACAGATATTAGGATACAAGTAACCCTGTAACTGCTGGAACCCCTATAAATCCTAATTAACCCTGATTTGACAGGAGTAGGATGGAGAGCAGAGTGTAGGGCAGGGGAGCGAGAAGCAGAGGATATAATTATCTGGAGGTTCCACGGTGGGTGAAAAGATGAATCGATACCAAGATAAATGCTTTTCCGGATAATGGGATGGAGAGACAGCATTGTACGAGGAAACAAGGAGCAGAGTGGCATCCAGACAGATGGAGAGAAACATACAAAGGAGGGAGCACACAGTTTGTGTAGAAAGAAAAGGGCTGATAAGAATTCCAATCATGACTCATGTACCCCCCTCAGCAAAAACCAGACACCCCGACCAGCAGGAAGTGGCTCGGAACACACAGCAAATCAACATTCTGTTCTCCTGTTTCCAAGGAACCCACAGAATTCATACTTCTCAGCAACCGTCAATGAGACGAGTATTAGCTCTCCATACAGCCATGTAACATATAACATGGGTAGCAAACACACAACATAAAATATCTCACAGGGTTCTGCCCATAACAGTGGATTGCTATAAATCCAGAACTGAATGGAAAATGTAGGCAAAAAAATTTTGATTTGTAAAAATACGCCAAATCTGTTCTAATCACAGCTTGGTTATCTTAGTTTGAATGTTGCAATTCATATTTTAATTCACTACAATTCATCTCTTAGGACAGCTGCTGTAAGAATGTGCATTAAAACTGGCCAGAATGTCTAATACGGATTTGTGGCAGAAATGCCTCTGCCACGTGTTCTTGGAGGGGCCTGCTTGCCAGCCTCCTGCCAAAAGACTATGGGCCCTTTAACCCCTTAAGGACCAACCTTCTGGAATATAAGGGAATCATGACATGTCACACATGTCATGTGTCCTTAAGGGGTTAAAAACATATGTGATTTATGTACTTTTGTACTCCATAAGGAGAGACCAACCGTTGGCCTTAATTCCCTGGAACTGTTTTGGGCATAGGACCATGTACATGGTCGGTCAAAATTAAAAAGACCTCAGGGTGGAAACGTTGCTGTTGTGCCAAATAAAGTGCCTGTCTTGAACCAAGGAGTGCCTGGACCTCTTTTCATTTTTAGGTAAAAATTATGACTTCCATAGAAATCCCAAACCCCTTTTTGGATATGTTGGGGGATGTGACTTTTGTGGAATTTTCATGTGTTTTGGGGGTACTTTTAGGGTGTTGTTAAAATGTATACTTTCTGTGCCTGGAGATAATTGAGTTTAGTACAGTTCCTGACTCAATTATCTCTCAGGCACAGGGAAGGGATTACCCTGTTTTGTGTGGGAGTGTCCTGGACCTGAGAGCTAATGTCATCACAGTGTGTACTTTGTCACAGTCCCCTCTCAGGTCCAGTGGAGAATGCCCCTGGAATGTGTTATGGAAAACCCCTCCCATCCTGCACCCCCTGCCTCCCGTCCTGCATCCCCTGCCTCCCGTCCTGCACCCCCTGCCTCCCGTCCTGCACCCACTGCCTCCCGTCCTGCACCCCCTGCCTCCCGTCCTGCACCCACTGCCTCCCATCCTGCACCCACTGCCTCCCATCCTGCACCCCTGCCTCCCAGCCTGCACCCACCTGCCTGCCCCCATCCTGCACCCACTGCCTCCCATCCTGCACCCACTGCCTCCCAGCCTGCACCCACTGCCCATCCTGCACCCACTGCCTCCCATTCTGCACCCTCTCCGCATCCCTGCACCCACTGCCTCAGCCTGCACCCACTGCCTCCCATTCTGTACCCCTGCCTCCCATCCTGCACCCCTGCCTCCTAATCCTGCACCCACTGCCTCCCAGCCTGCACCCACTGCCTCCCATCCTGCATCCCTGCCTCCCATCCTGCACCCACTGCCTCCCATCCTGCACCCCCTGCCTCCCATCCTGCACCCCCTGCCTCCCATCCTGCACCCCCTGCCTCCCATCCTGCACCCACTGCCTCCCGTCCTGCACCCACTGCCTCCCGTCCTGCACCCACTGCCTCCCATCCTCCCATCCTGCACCCACTGCCTCCCATCCTGCACCCACTGCCTCCCGTCCTGCACCCACTGCCTCCCATCCTGCACCCCTGCCTCCCATCCTGCACCCACTGCCTCCCCATCCTGCACCCACTGCCTCCCTGCCCTACACCCACTGCCTCCTGTGCCTGCACCCACTGCCTCCCATCCTGCACCCACTGCCTCCCCGTCCTGCAACACCCACTGCCTCCCGTCCTGCACCCACTGCCTCCCATCCTGCACCCACTGCCTCCCGTCCTGCACCCACTGCCTCCCGTCCTGCACCTTCTTATATCGATAACCTGTCGCTGTCGATACATTTCTTTCATATTAAACATGGTGCTCTAGATAGAAAATTATTTCTTTTATTTTAAACAAACATTTAATTTGCAATGTAGCGGAAACAGCAGGATTTCTCTGTTCTTGCAGCGCAGACACGAAGCTCACCGTAACGTTACTCAGAGCCGAGGGTTCATGGGCAGGTCACATCTCGCTAGTTAAAACATCTCTCTATAGAGACACGCACAGATTCACATTAACATTACAAAGCCAGGAAGAAGATGAGAAAATAACGATATTAACAATGAACCGCGCAGCATTATGGTGCCTGCATGTTGCAGATTTTACAGGGAAATTCATTTATTTTTAATAAAAAGACCCTGTGTTTATTGTCTGGTAGTTAGAGATTTAAGGGAGATGAAGAGTCCCTCTGGGATCTCGATTCTTTAGTTTTGATATATAGAATGTGATTTGTTTATACAGATTGAGACAGACACTCAGTTTAACACTTTGATAACTCTCCTAAACACAAAACAGAGTGCAGGGCTCTATTTGCCATGCTACCTATGGCGCTTGATCATTTTAAGGCGGCACTGTCATGCCGAACTTATCTTTCCCCAATCGCCTCCTCTTCTCTTCCTCTCTAAGGACCTGTTCTTCTTTTCTTCATAATTGATCTAGTTTTCGTTAAAACGTAAGACAAAATAGTCCTACTTTGTCTTGTGTATTTTTCCTACGCTTGACCACCTTTGACCCAGGGAGGAGATAAGCCTGCTCCGTTTCCTGTGGGAAAATTTCTTTGATACTTACCTCTCCTCCTGATGCTTCATTCAAATTAAATTCCAATCCTATTCGTGCAATGACTGCAACTTGCAGCCGCTTGGTAAATAGCTCCCTAATTCCCACGGTATTAGTAACTAGCTACTAAAAGGCAGAAAGACCAAAATTTACTAATACTAAATACAGATAACACAAATAGGCCCGAATAGGATCAGAATTTCATATCCAAACAAAAAAGTACCGAATGTTGTTCTAAAACGAATGGACAAACTATATTCATTCTGTTATGACAAAATTCAGTAGTTTCACCAGTAAAATCATTCGAACGGTGAATGAAGCAATACAAGAACACAGGAGGAGAGGTGAGTATTGTGGGGAAATTTCTTTGACCACAGGAAACGGAGCGGGCTTAGCTTCTCCATGGGTCAAAGCTGGTCAAGCGTAGGAAAAATACATAAGACAAAGTAGTCACAACTGTGTCTTATGATTTAAGGAACTAGATCAGAGAGGAAGAACAGATCCTGAGAGAGGGCAAGAAGAGGAAGCGATTGGGGAAAGGTAAGTTCGGCATGACAGTGCCACTTTAATCCAGCTCTAATTCAGCACCAGGTCCTGGCATCCAGCTTGCAACAGTTTATTGATTACTATTTACAAAACATGCCAAGGACCAGAGCCTCAGCCCGCCACCTCCACGGGACTTTATTACGTCACTGCAATCTTAATAGAGAGCCGGTATCTACCCCAGTAAAGCATTTTTTAAAAAAAATATACATTGACATACATGCCATGCCTCCTTCCAGCTACTATTCGAAGGAACATGGAGTCTATGCCCAAATATCTAAATTCTTAGTTCATAAATGGTGGGGTGACATCTCCCCCTCAGGAGACCTCTGTCTGATAAACTAGTCTGCATATTTTAGTTGCCAAACACTACAGACTGATTTCATCCCACACACTTCCTTAAATCGGCGCAGATAATAACAGTGTGTGAGGCTGCGCCATGCAGGGACTGATGCTATTTCTGCCTGATGCCAAGAACATGCGTGGGCACACGATATTAACAGGTACAGAGAGGAAGCAGAGGGGAGAGGCTAAAACCTCTCAGAGGACGTGCTTTCCAAGATTAAAAGTCAAAGAGAAGCAGTGCAAAACAGAGAAACGCACACACCTTTCTGGTTATTGTGTAAATATCAATTAACAAGTTCTGTTTAATAAGTATATTTATAAACAGTAAGGCAATATACCCTTATTACAGAGCAGAAGCAAGGTGAGAGCAAGCAAATGTACGAGACTGACTGTTTGAATACATGATACATGATGTGTGTAATAATAACCTCACTACAGGCAGGAGTGATGTCAGAACTAGCCTGTAATAATAACCTAGTTATAGACAGTAGTAGTGTTAGAACCAGTGTGTAATAATAACCATATTATAGATAGCAGTAATGTCAGAACCAGCCTGTAATAATAACTTTATTACAGACAGGAGTGATGTCAGAACTAGCCTGTAATAATAACCTTATTATAGACAGAAGTGATGTCAGAACTAGTCTGTAATAATAACCTTATTATAGACAGGAGTGATGTCAGAAGTAGCCTGTAATAATAACCTTATTATAGACAGGAGTGATGTCAGAAGTAGCCTGTAATAATAACCATATTATAGATAGCAGTAATGTCAGAACCAGCCTGTAATAATAACTTTATTACAGACAGGAGTGATGTCAGAACGAGCCTGTAATAATAACCTTATTATAGACAGTAGTGATGTCAGAACTAGCCTGTAATAATAACAGCCTTATTATAGACAGGAGTGATGTCAGAACTAGCCTGTAATAATAACCTTATTATAGACAGAAGTAATGTCAGAACTAGCCTGTAATAATAACCTTATTATAGACAGTTGTGATGTCAGAACTAACCTGTGATAATAACCTTATTATAGACAGTGGTGATGTCAGCATAGACTCATGGTTGTGACCCATATTTTAGCCTTTGAAATAGGCACACTGATCACACTGTGGGCAGTGTTTGTAGTTCATTGTAGCATCAATACTTTTCTGATGAAAAAGAGATGTTTAACCATGGAAGAGTCTAAATTACTTTCTAAAATGGATTTATTTATTATACTAAAATGTCAGATAATTGGTTGCCAAGCTAATGCAAGCTACAACAATATAATTTGTTTCAGCTCTGTAATTTAATTAAAGAAATACTGTCATTTCAGTGATGTAAGAATACTTTTGATTCTGTAATACAGTACATTTCTGTGATGTATGATGAATTACAGTGAGTAATTCGGTGATGTCATAGAATAATTTCAGTGATTTAAGAGTCATTCAGTGATGTAATACAGGAATGTCAGAGTGCATTTATTTTCTGTACCACATACTTTTAGTTGGGCTAATACAGACACCCCGGGTAAGGTGCCGTACTTCAGTACACCTGTCATGTTGCCGAGATAAAGAGTTTTATTGCCTGCAGAGCCGGTTTCATTATGGATGTTGGTGTTGTATCATTGATGGGCACGAGGGCACTTACCTTACATGCCAGGTTCTCTACCAGTGCAATCATGGAGTTTTTGAAGAGCGTGGCAGCTGTCAGAGGCCTTTTGGTCACCTCGCTGATGCTCAGTTGTCCATCTGGCCACATTTCCCTCAGGACGGGATCTTTGCTGGAATGGAAGAGAAGACTGAAGTGGGTTTCTGGGGGCAGCCACATTTTTCTATGGTTCACCCTCTGTAATGGGCCCCAGTAAATGTTACTGAGAACCTAGAAATGTTTCCAGCTCAGATTATCATATCACAAAGATCAAACATTTGGCAATGATTCCTTTGATGGTCAGTTTGGTGTTTATTTGATAATACACAGGCTGGATTTCCTGTTCCTGATTAATTCCCAGATGGCTGCTCCAGGATTAGGGGATTCGATATATTGGGGTTCTGTGAGGAACAATTTATTTATTTTTAACAGAAAGAGAGAGATGCAAGGAATAGCTTTCCAGTAGAGGTGGAAAAACTGATACAGTGAAAGAAGTCAAGAATGCTTAAGATAAACACCAAGCTGCCCTGAGCAGGAATGTGGCTTTTATCGGCTGTCAGACTCTTGATTTAAACCGAAGCACAAAATTGTAGAAGTAGAATAATCACCTTCGATATCCATGGCAACTGCCCCACTTTTAGAATTCGTCCCCCTTTCCTGATTACTTTGCTAGGAAATCTGCCCTACGTGTTTATTTACATTTAGTATATGGCATGAAATACAATGACCTTATTGCATTAAAAAAATATATATATATTATTCCTATTATTATTGGTATTTAAATAGCAGCAACGTATTTCACAGTGTTTTGCAATATTATAAAGGGCTGAACACATGAGGCAAACAATTACAAATCTTGACAGGACCCTGCTGAAATTAGTTTACAATCTGGAGGGTTATGCTCAATAGTAATGATTGAAGCTGCAATTATTAACTGTGCAGTGTCATGTGACACTGTAAGCAAAACTAAGGAGTCTATATAGGACCTCTGCTTAGGCTCGAATCTCCAGCCGTGGCACTAAGGGGGTCCTTAACTCAGAAGGCAGATTAAAAGCTCGGCCCTGAATCCCCTGACTTTGTTGAGGGAGCACTGTGGTCTGCACCAGTAGCTAGTGCAGACCACTTTAAGAGCTCCTTTGCAGTCCATCTCAGTGATTCAGAACACCACAGCCTGCAGTTCTTAAAGTGATCTGCACCCAATATTCGTGCAGACCACAATGCTCCCCCAACTGGACCACTGGGAATCCAACTCACTCTCCACTGGACCACCTGAGATCATATCCCCCTCTTGCAAAAAGGTAAGTAGGAAGGGGCATAATAAAAACTTGTACACACACACACACACACACAATGTATTTCTCCAGTTCTAAATCCACCTCCAGCAAAGCTCCTAATGTCTACGTGTTCCTTAGAGCACGTCTCATTTCATCAGGACTTGGCCCAGAGACAAAACCTCGGTGCCGCGAGCACACGTTTGAGAACAGCATTGCATGTGTTTAAGTGCTTTGTCCAGCACTGTAGCGGAACGCCAATATTAAATCCACGAATTCCGCTGGTTCAGGAAGTAATCCACAGTCAAGCGCTGGAAACAACAAGGCAATATCACAAACCTCCCAGTAACCGGACGAAACACAGTTCTGAGAGTCAACTGAGGTCTTTTAATTCAGCTCCACAATTTATACAAGTCCCCATGCAAGGGGTTTCCTGAGTCCCTTCCCAGGGGCATTCCCAGAGGGGACAACATGGGGGACTTACAATACAAGGCATTTCTCCCATCAGGCACTGCTGCACGAGAGGGATCCTCCCACGGGAATATACCGTTAAGTGGATTATCCCTCCGTGCAGCAGAACTTCGTATAAAATTCGTATAAAAATTTATAACTTTATGAATATGCAGTCTATTTAAACGAATGGACATTCGGTAGATAGCTGGGGTCTGAGCGCATCATTCGGGAGATTACCGCTCAGATCCCAGCTAAAACAACCGAACGCCGCACGAAAAACACATTTATTGAAAGACATATTAAAATGACCGATTGCCTTCCAGGGAATGAAATACCGAACGGCCCGGAACTCCCGAACGGCCTGGAGGCTCAGCGGTGTTCGCGCCGTAGAGTAGCCATTTTTAGTACCATGCGCTCGACGACCTAACACCGCTGAGGGAACAAAGGATCCAAGATGGCCGACCGCCGCATGGTCGGTAGTCGAACGGCGGCCACCTAGGAGAGCCTCTAATTACCGATTGCAACATTGTTGCAATCGGTTAACAAGCGCCACACGCCTCTAAGTGTGTGGGCTACTATATGGAGTGTTTTCGGTTCACGAACGGCCCGCAAAAGTGCCGTTCGTGAAACGAAAGGAAAACCCAATACAAATAGCTATCTGCATTCGGCAGATAACCATTACAGGAAATACAAGGGATTACAGCCAGCATACATTATACATAGTTAAACACATATCCCCACCGACATACAGGAAACCCTTAAAGGCACAGTCTCTTGATATTGTCCAAGTGGCTAGGTTTGCCACAAGCACTAAAGTTTGTGAGTGAGTTTTATGCTTTAATGGAATTTTAATGGAATTAATGGTAAATCCCCATTGGGGACTCCTCTGTGTGCGCTGACTTTGTAGGGTTTGAAGATACAAACAATAAATCCTGTAGGTATCGAACACAACCCCAATGTTTAATGTCCACGTATATTAAATACGTGTCCCATATCCTGCCTAATACAGGGTTATTTACTAAAATGAGAACTGTGAATTTCAGGTTTAAGGCCAAAAAAGCTGAACTGGAGAAATTCTCCAAGGAGCTATGATTCCAGTGCTGCTGTTTTCCCTTAAATTTAAAAATGACTTTGAATAAACCCTGACACTGGTTTCCTTACACGTTTCATTGATATCGCGGCTTTCTTACTCTAAGTCTGTTATAACACCAATAGAACAGAGTCATCTAAGAAATAAAAGCAGGTTTGCAGCTTTGGACATGGGAAGCAAATAACAGAATTTGTAGTGAAAAGCTGTTAGCGAGTGGCGTTTTCCAGAGAATACTTGGTGCCAGTCCTTGGCAAGGTACAGCTGGTGGATCGGTGTCACTGGAAATGAGAGATCTTATTGGCAGTACATGTTTTGTGTGTTGATGTATGAAATAAAATTCTAGTAAGAAAGAAAGACGTAGTAGGTGCTTTCTCTCTTTACAGCCAGCGGGGAGCGATTACTCCACAGGGTTTTGTGTAGCGCAAGCATAAAGAATAACACAATGCCAAAAAAACAAAATCAAATTGTGCTGAATTACTGATTTGTTTTATTAGCAGAGAAACATTTATTCCAGGACAACTGCGGGCTCATGCACCGAATTAATTAATGAAATGAATAATACACAGAGTTAATTAAACAAGTTAAATAAGCGATTGCAATTTTATTCCTATTAAATGTGCGCAGCAAAGAATCATGGTGAAATTCAGAACTAATGGGGTGTGTTCATTAAGGCCTCAATTTAATATTTTTTGATAAGATTTTCAAATTATTTAATATGTTGAAATAGATTATAATTTTGTATTATTTTGTTATTTTTGTAGTATCCAGTGATCTACTCGCTGCAAAATCTCGTGGTCACTACTCTATCCTAATTCTCCTTGACCTGTCAACAGCTTCTTGTCATCCTCCGCAATATCGGTCTACAAGATATTGCTCTCTCCTGATGCTCCTCCTACCTCTCCCAGTGCTCTTTCAGTGTTTCTTTCTCTGGCTCTGCCTCTTCTCCCAAACTCCTCTCTGTTGGTGTCCCCCAAGGTTCAGTCCTTGGTCCCCTACTGTTCTCCATCTATACTGCCTCCCTTGGTAAACTCATTAGCTCCTTTGGCTTCCAATATCATTTCTATGCAGATGACACGCAAATCTACCTGTCCTCTCCTGATCTCTCCCCATCCCTCTTGACTAGGGTCTCTGACTACCTCTCTGCTGTTTCTAATTGGATGGCAGGGGGCACAGGTTTAAGGGGGATTAAAATCCAATAGGTTATCATACTCAGATATATATCAGCAGACCATGTATGACATTTGTTTGCTCTACCCCTTTGACGTATTTCTCGCCATTAATGTAATTTATAGTTAATATCCTGTGGGTAAGACACAGATGCTGAGAGAATGAAACAGACCATGCCAAGCTTGGCTCTGTATCCAAAATGTTCCTACTTCAGGTATTTAGTGATTTAGAGAATTAACGTCCCGTACCTTTAATGTGGTACATGATTAGGTTTACTGGGCACAGAGAACTGTTAACAAATCCTGCAGGGGGCGCATCTGAGCAGGAGTGTAGTTTGGGCTAAAAGCCACTCAACACATCCACAATAAAAGGCATTGTCTGAGATGCTCAGTAAATACTCAGGCATGCGAAGAGTTAATACCATTTTATCTCAATGCTAGATTTAATGGATTTATTTATTAGTTTTCTTAAAGCGGTTATTTATGTATTTTCTAGAACGGCCCATATAGCGCACTGGTGGTGTTCATGCTCCAGCGGGGCTATAGATCTATAGGATACGTCGTGCCATCGCTCTCCTGTTAGATACTAAAAATGTACTAATTGGCTGGAATCACAGCCTCCACATAGCAGCACAGACTGTCTTTATTTATAGCAGAGAAGAGACATGTCAGGCTCTACGCTTGTCACTGGAAATGCAAGAAAATTGGGCTCTGGGATGGGAGGACACTGTTAAATAAAATATTAGATGGGAGACTGTACAATGCAGTAACGTGCTACCTGTCAGGATCTCATGTGATCAGAGGGGAAAGTTGGCATCTAACAGATTTGTCATTGGCTTGGTTCAGCTTGGCATCAGCTTGTGACAGATCTAAGACAAGAAGCAGACACTGTGCTCGATGGGAATGTGCCCATCACTGGAGGCAGGGTGGCATATCCCACACTTCTAGCATCGCCAGCTGCTGTGAAATCCAACTCCCATTAGACTCAGCCAGCAAAGAGAGGACATTGTGCGTCTGATGGTGTCCACAGATTACAACTCATATAGCACAGAAAGGATCCACGCAGCCACACGTGGAACTAAACATTAATAATGATACCAATTATGAACCAGTCTTATTGTCAGGACGTCTTTAGAAGAAACAACACCCACTTTAGCAAACAAACAACGTTTGTCATATAAAATAAAACCAGCTGTATCTGCATTGCAAAATGTATACGTGGAACTCACAGATACAAACAGAAATCCGTCATCAAAACACATTTTAAAGGCTGGGCCCACAAATTGGCCACTGGGCTCACTGCCCACAGGGAGAATTGTATAAAAGTCCTGTATGCACTAACATCGCCAGGGGGACAGATTCTAACTCTTCATCCCCATTGGACTTCGATCGTCATCATGTTTGGCAACCCTAGGGCAGTGTGGTACAATGAGTCCAATACATAGACAGCAGCGGTTGTGTTTTGTATGAATAATCAATAACAGTTCTAATAACTGGAGAGGAGGACTGAAGGGAGAGTTTCCCTCTTTTTGGGGAGAAGGCTGACAGAATCACTTGGATACATGATATAAACATGGAAATCCTAGTATCTGCTCCTTTTGGAATCAGAGACCCACTGAGAGCCAGACCCCCTTTCTGGAACAAACTGAACATTTGACAGAACTAATTAATAAAGCATCCCCTCTGCTTCATCTATTCCTTCCCCCAAGGATGTCCATGTCTCCAGGAGATAAAGGAACATGGCCAACCGTATGACTGTTTAGATGAGCCGGTGGGCATTGAAGACTCCCGTTACCTCCCACTATCTTCTGTTATCTCCCGTTGCCTCCCATTATCTCACGTTGTCTTCAGTTATCTCCTGTTACCTCCCGTTTCACTCACCTGTTATATAGTAAACGTTTGAAATCTTGGAATAAGGTGTCCTTGTTCTTATCCAGGAAACCCTCCACGGAATACCTGGAAAAAGAAAATAGTGTCACAAAACTGTGTTTCATATCTTTTTATAGTTGTTTGCTAATTTATTACTTTAATTAGTTTATCGGGCTTGTATCCTTCAATAAGGAAATCACAGAGTTTATAAAGGGACATTACTCCTTCTCAGGTAAATAGGATTTTGGGTGAAGCCGATGGCGGATCTTTGAGGTTTATGCATTATTTAGCAGAGCTAAGTAGACCTGATACTCACGTAACATTGCCGGCGTAATGCTTAATGCGAAAATCACGATTAAACGCCATGGACTTGTCAGCGGTCGAAAGCTACGGGAGAAAACATTAATGTTACCAATTACTGCAGACACGAAGGCTAAAATATAGGGTCCAAAACACACATAGGTAAAAAGATCACCTGCTCCCACCCAATGCCCCATAATTCTAGTTATACCCTGAGCACTGTGACACTTTACCTTAATATTATTATTATTATATATAAAGCACCAACAAATTCTGCGGTGGGTGGATGTACAGAAACAGAAGGTGCTGAGGGCCCTGCTCAAACCAGCTCACATCCTTGGGGGAGTGGGGTAAAATGACACGAGGTGAGAGTAGAGTGTATTTAATGTATGGGAATAGTCAGTTTCTAGAGTAGTTAACAGTGTAGGTTGGTTTTTAGGTGATGCTGTTGCAGAAGGGTGAGCTGTTAACAGTTTAAATGATAATCCTTCTTGAAGACATGGGTTTTCAGACTGGAGACTGTGTGAGAGTTTAATGGAGCCGGGAAGGGAGTTCCATAGGAACAGTGTAGCGGATGGCACTGGGCTTAAATTGCAGTGTTATATGTGTAAATATAGGTTGTATTCGTCTGATTGTTCGGTAGAATCATTCTAGCAATTATGGGAATGAAACTACCGAACAGTCAGACCTCCCCATCGCATGGAACCAAATTCGGCTGTTCTCTCCAGCGCGGTCGGTCTTTTTATTACCTCCACGAATTTCCCGAACCCCTGGTCCGATCTGGGTGATTTTTGGATATGTTGCTCACCCAGATCAGGGCTACCAGGGGATGTGCCATTTAAAGGGGTACCCCTAGGTTTAGAGGTACATCCATAAACTTGGGGAATTTGTGTACTGTATAAGGGGATTATGAGTCAGGCTGAGGGGAGGAGATGTGTGGGAGGTTACTAGAACAGGATTGGATACTTCTTAATTAATGAAAATCCCTCCCTTGCATGGGAGCATGCTTTATAAGGCCACTGTGGAAATAAAAGTTTTAGTTCTGCTCCTGATGCTGTGTGTCGTCCAGTTATTGGGATTGCTGTTGGGATATTGCAATCTTGTTTTACCTGCTGGAAACCTTGCTTTATGGATTTATAACTACTTGTTCCTGAGCCTCACTGGGATCTTAAGTGGAGATAACTTGTGGAATACTGGATCTCCGCTACAAACAGATTCTCATTGGTCCCACCTTTCTGCTGGTGTAGTGGGGGTGTCTGCCCAGCTTGCTGTTCATGGACTCCAGAAATATGGTGTCCGTGACATCTCCCACCGTCAGACAGGCCTCGTCCAGGATAGAGATGATGCCTTTGTGAGGTTGTTCAACTAGATCCACGATAATCTGATTATTAAAGTATTCAATCTACAAAAGAAAACAAGAAAAGGTGCACTTCATTCAATGGGAGCCTTTCCCAGCATTTTACATACTACCTCCACAGTGTGTTACATGGTCAGCCAGCAGGTGGTGCCCCAGGTTATCTATTCTCCGAGAAGTGGCACTGTCACTTATAGAGTCATTTTTATATGGCAGCAGCTGGGGCGAGAGAAGGGGTATACTTACCTGGAGCTCTCCCGCCATCTCCTGCCTTCAGTACTTGGCGCATGAACTACCAGGAACTGCGTCGTGTGCCCCGTACTGGGGAGCAGAGCGCCCTCACCTGGTAACTCACGGAATCTGTGCCATGTGTTCCTTCTAACATAATATTATAGTAGAATTTAACCCACAGATCCCCACAATGCCGTATACTCCATCTACGTGTAACTCACGTGCTGCCACTCGATGCCCTCTCGCTGGTACTCATTCTGTTCTTGCCGAAGGATCAGTTCAATGAATAATTGTTGCAGTTTCTCATTACAGTAATTAATACAGAATTGTTCAAAGCTGGAAAAAAAAAAATAAACATCAGTGATAAAATTATAAAAAAATAAATAAATAAAATATGGCGCAAAGCAAGGTATAGCACAATCAAACTGTCTCCCAGACTGCAGATATTTCTATTACTGTACAGATTACATTAGGGTAGAGGGAGGTATAGTAAGTGCAGTAGGTATACAGTGTGTGTATATTTTATTTATATAGCGCTAACAGGTGTACTCAGCACTTTACAGGTTAAGTATTGCTGTAGAGGGAGGTACAGTAAGTGCAGTGGGTATACAGTGTATGTATATTATATTTATATAGCGCTAACAGGTGTACTCATAGCACTTTACAGGTTACATTACAGTAGAGGGAGGTACAGTAAGTGCAGTAGGTATACAGTGTATATTATATTTATATAGCGCTAACAGGTGTACTCAGCACTTTACAGGTTACATTACAGTAGAGGGAGGTACAGTAAGTGCAGTGGGTATACAGTGTATGTATATTATATTTATATAGCGCTAACAGGTGTACTCAGCACTTTACAGGTTACATTACAGTAGAGGGAGGTACCGTAAGTGCAGTGGGTATACAGTGTATGTATATTATATTTATATAGCGCTAACAGGTGTACTCAGCACTTTACAGGTTACATTACAGTAGAGGGAGGTACAGTAAGTGCAGTGGGTATACAGTGTATGTATATTTTATTTATATAGCGCTAACAGGTGTACTCAGCACTTTACAGGTTACATTACAGTAGAGGGAGGTACAGCAAGTGCAGTAGGTATACAGTGTATGTATATTTTATTTATATAGCGCTAACAGGTGTACTCAGCACTTTACAGGTTACATTACAGTAGAGGGAGGTACAGTAAGTGCAGTAGGTATACAGTGTATGTATATTTTATTTATATAGCGCTAATAGGTGTA